TACATTCTCCGTTGGGTTGGCTCTGGTTGGCCGATTTCTGTTACCCCTTTGAGAATTTCGGATTCGGATTGTTTCTCTGGGGCGATCTGGTTGTCCTTTGTTTTCTTGATCTGTTCTCTGTGAAGGGTGAGGGAAAGGGGATAATGGGGACTTTGAGGGCGATTCTGAAGCACCCAGATGATGTTTACCCGCTATTGAAGCTCAAAATGGCGGCGAGGAGCGCCGAGAAGCAGATCCCGCCGCAGCCTCATTGGGGATTCTGTTACACAATGCTTCACAAGGTGTCTCGTAGCTTTGCTCTTGTGATTCAACAGCTGGGAACCGAGCTCCGTGACGCTGTAAGCTTCTTCTGCTCTTTTTTTTCTTTTTAAAAAGGTTTTGCCTTGGGAATTTGATTTGCGAATTCTTTGAGCTACTGTGATTTCCCCCCACTGAATTCTGCATTTGCTCGTTGCTTTGATAAGCTATGCATCACTTTTTCGATTGACAAGTGTTACTATGCTGCTGCTTTACTTTCTTTCTTTTCCACGTTCATGCATGATTTGGGTAAAAGGGAAAAGACTGGTGTGCAGTTTTAGTAATCTAATCTCTGATTCTTGAGGTGTAAAGTGTGAATGATTTAATGGCCACAAATGACCTTTCAACTGTATCAATTTTCCACAAGCAAGATATCATCTTTCTTTATGACTTTTCGTTCACGATAGTGACACGCACTAAAAGGCTTGAAATATGTGTTTTCTCTGCAAATTCGATGTCTTTTTTTCTTTTCTCAAAATCGGAAAATTTGCTTGATTTTGGTGATTATGGTTGAGATTGTTGTACTATTGACTGTTATCGAGTCTTAACGACAAGTGAAGCTATTCATGAAATTGGACTCGTTGTTGGCCTGAAGCTATTATTATCTTTCTCTACCCAGTGAATGTTAATGGTGCTATGGAACTTTGATCTGTACCAAGTACCAACAACACGACGATCTCTGATTGCCTTTATATTATACCTCATCCTTGTCTACTTGTGCGCCAGAACTTGATAAACATATTTCTAGCCAGGCTATATTTTGAGGGTTGCACTTGCATAAATAGTCAATCTGCTAAGTTGCTGTTCCTTTTTTGCCTTGATTTTTGCAGGTATGCATCTTCTACTTGGTTCTTCGAGCCCTTGACACAGTTGGTTTGTCTCTATCTATGAAACTAGACTCTGATATTGTCTTTATGTTTATCTCTTACTATGTGGTTTATTGTGTCTAAAAATGTCAACTAGCTTGACTTATGCTTCAGACTTAACCAGTGAGTTTAATCATTATTATGAAAATCAAGCCAACTTTCAGATAACTTAACTGAATTTTGAGTTGATCTTTCTGTTTAAGACCACCATCACAAAGCCTCATTTTTCAGTGGTGACCGCAGTCTGTGGCAACTGCTATATTTGGAGTGTGTGAAAATGGAGGAAGAATTCTTTTCCACTTGGTGCTGCGAGTCAATGGATGTTTATGTACTGTTCTGTTCTGTTAATTATTTTGTAGAGGATGATACCAGCATAGCTACAGATATAAAGGTGCCTATTCTGAATGCTTTTCACCGTCACATATATGACAAGGAGTGGCACTTTTCATGTGAGTCTTAAGACCTCCTTAGTGCTCCTTCTGAAAGCTTCACTTATGAAAGTATTCTATATTACCGTTTTTCCAAATTTCAGTTTTCTGGATGTAATATACTAAAAAACTTGATTCCTTAAACTGGAATCCTTCTGCTCACACGGGCTAATTCTTTCATTTGCTTAAGGTGGTACGAAGGAGTATAAAGTTCTGATGGACGAGTTTCACCATGTTTCGACTGCGTTCCTAGAGCTGGGAAAAGGGTATGTATCTTATGAACATAATTGGACCCGGCCTTTTTTCTGAAGTTCTTGTGCCATGTTTTTTCCACACGACCGTAACATAATTTCCAGCTTAGATGTCTGTAGCAAGATTAGTACTTATACTGCGGATTCACCCTTAAGTTATGCGATTTACTCTTTGATAATATTGACCTTTATTTACAGCACCTGATTCTAGGATCGTAGTTTACGTGTGGGCAGAAAGATTTACATATATGACCAGATTTGAGCACAACTAGACAATAACCTTTCGAGTATACAGCTAGAGTTGTGGAGCAATTTAGTGATGGATGTATTTTGCAGCTGTAGAGGTTAGGCTGGTATGTTCTAGCAGAGTAGCATTTACAAGTTTGTGAGTTAGTTTGCAGATATTGTGTATATTGCTCCAAATCTAATGATTTACAGTGAATTATTGTGATAACTCGCAAATATTGAAGCTTTAAGCGCATTTACCCATTGATATTTATTTGTTTCTATGACCCTGTGCTTGAGAATGTCTCATTAAATTAAAATGTTTTACAGCTATCAGGAGGCGATCGAGGATATCACCCAAAGAATGGGTGCTGGTATGGCAAAATTTATCTGCAAAGAGGTTAGTTATACTGGTTTTTTTATATGGAACCTTTGATAGGACATGTATTGATGGGAACGAACAAGCCTAGTTGGTAGATGATTCGAAAGGCTGATATAATTATGTGCTTCACGTATTGATGCAACATACAAATTGGAAATGGGAATGCATTACTATAATTGCAAGTACAAGTGAAATGCGAGTGAGATATATGTTTAAGCTTCAGATTCTGCTTTCTAATTTTGAACTTAAAACATTCAAATGATCCAGGTGGAAACAGTTGATGACTACGATGAGTATTGCCACTATGTAGCAGGACTTGTGGGACTAGGACTGTCAAAGCTTTTCCATGCTTCAGGAAAGGAAGATTTACAACCAGACAGCCTGTCCAATTCAATGGGATTATTTCTTCAGGTATCACCATTGTGCATATCTAAAAGTGATTTTCACTTGAAATGTTAAATTTTGTCCGGGCTTTGACATCTTTGTACTTCTACACGTGTCTTACTTGATAATTTGGGGAAAAAACAGAAAACAAACATCATTCGAGATTATTTGGAAGATATAAATGAGATACCTAAGTCGCGCATGTTTTGGCCTCGTGAAATCTGGAGCAAGTATGTTGACAAACTTGAGGTAAGTAGAAAATTTGTCGCCAAACATGCACGCAAGACACTGTTCTGGGTAATAGTTCTTGTCTGACTGGCATTTCTTCATATTACAACCCTCAGGACTTGAAGTACGAAGAAAATTCAGTGAAGGCAGTGCAATGTTTGAATGATATGGTCACCAATGCATTGATACACATGGATGACTGTGTGAAGTACATGTCTGATCTTAGAGATCCTGCTATATTTCGGTTTTGTGCCATTCCTCAGGTAGGAGAATCTGCAGCTGACAATGAAGAACCTTTTTGTGTTCACAAATTTCTTTCTATGAAATATGAATGCATTAGCATGCCCCTGGCTCAAACAAATTTGTAAATCAAATGTTCCACTTGGTCTCATTCCATTTCTTGTGGTTTTCTTTTCAATAAGCAGGCTTCTGGTGTTCTTTTGCCGGTGCTTTATTCAAACTTCAATTGTGGTGTTTTTACCCCACTTGTACCAAGATCATTTTTCTTTGTTGACCTTAGGTTATTTATACATGTGCCTATTTTTGTAGTCCTAGGGAAAAAGTTTCCTTAGTCATGAGTAGTTTGTGAAATGTTGTATTTTCAACTCCTGTTTTTATCAGTCACTAGTGAGCTTGCTTCTCATTTGAGTTCCATCAATTGATAGATAATGGCAATTGGAACTCTGGCAATGTGCTATAACAACATCGAAGTCTTCAGAGGAGTTGTGAAGATGAGGCGTGGTAAGATTGATCTATACTGTGATTTTCTTTCTAGTGAATCCAAGAATGTAGCAAACACAATATCATGTGAGAATATGTTAATTGATGGTCTACACTTTGTTCATTTGTCTCTAGGTCTTACTGCTAAAATTATTAATGGCACAAAAACCATGGCTGATGTTTATGGGGCTTTCTATGACTTCTCTTGTATGCTGAAGTCTAAGGTACAGTTTGTCTGTTAACTTCGCACGACTTAGTATCCTGCAATTGACTTGGGTACCAAATGCAAAGATACCTCCCAAAGCAGACTTGAGTAACTGTTGTGCGTTGCTGGGACCAAAATATGTAGGTTGACAAGAGTGATCCAAATGCATCAACAACATTAAGCAGATTGGAAGCTATCCAAAAGACCTGCCGAGAATCTGGATCTCTCACCAAAAGGTTTAGATATTGCATTATAATTGGACTTACATTTTTCTATGTTGCGTTATTTGGCTGACTTCTTTTGATTTTGGCAGGAACTCTTACATTCTGGAGAGCAAGAAGCAGCACAATCTCTTCCTGGTGAGTTCCTGATATTTATTCAGAGGTTTAACGTCAGCTTCATTCCGTACTAACTGTTCTAAATTTCTAATGAAATAAACATCATCTGCATCACAGTTTTGGCTACTATCATGACTTCTTTAAAAGAATGGCAACTGATTTTCTTTATTTCTGTTATACAGACTGTTGTGCTTATCATTATCCTAGCCATCATCTTCGCTCGTCTGACCGGCACCAACCCAGCCAACTAGGGTAATTTTGTGCTATGTACATGTTTTTAAATCAGTGATGAAAGTGGGATCATTATTTCACTTGACTAAAAAATCATTGCTCCTCTCTTCTGCAGATGGACCAGGTCCGCGAAGCCGCAAATGGCTGCCTGTATTATTTTCTTGTTCATGGAAGCTTTAATGGCTTATGTGTTTGTAAACTTTTGGCCATATCATATGGCAGTGCTTGACCTTTAAATACATGAATGAATGAACAAATTAGTGTTAAATGTTTATTATCGTGGAGAATGAATTAACAATCCTATTCACAAGTTCGATCAATTCAATTACTTTTGTTATGTTGATTACTTAGAAGCTGTATAGTTAGCTTATCTTCACAGCACAATCAGACCATTGCTGCAAGAAACTAACATTGATTTCTGTACAATTACGTTATGTTATAGCGAAATGAAACTATTACTGCAAAAAATACACAGGATAAACTGACTGTCATATACTAGCAAGAGGGCATGAATATTTTTGGTACCTAAATCACAAAGAGGAAAAAGCAAGAGATGAGACAATACAGAAAAGTTCAAGTCTTTAAACCACTTCAGGCTATTTTGCTCGCCAGGACTCTCTCCCTTCCTTCGATATATCCAAATGGGAACCAACCTGCTCTCCCTTTGCATTCCCCTCCCGCCCACCCATTACTTGTCGCCTGCATACATCCATACATATAGGATCAGTTGTTCATTCTCACATCCCAAATGCGGTGGCCTGAATACGAAAACATAGATTCCACCATTCTGGTAAGTGGCGAACCTCTCTGACCACAACAGTCACCGGCTGACAGAGACAGCTCAAAGTCAGTTTCGGCATTGTAAGGATGCATAACCTGTGGCATAATATCAGGCATTGTTAGCATTTCCTGGCAAACATAATTCATAAATCTCATCAGGTCGAATGGAGCAAGAGAGAACTTGGATAAGATCATAAGAACCTCCCCTAAGAAATATCCCCTACTATCTGTAAAGCAACTTTGTGTTTGAGAGGCATTTTGGACCGTAGTAAATGCTCTCAAAGCTGTAATTGTTGCGCAGTTAATAGCAATAATTCATTGTGAAGCATCACCTTAGAGCAATATACACAAGAATTTCTGCAAACTACATCTCACAAACTTCTAAATGCTACTCTGCTATAATATCTAATTTCTACGGCTGCAAAATACATTCATCACTAAGTTGCTCCGGAGCTCTAGCTGTATACTGGAAAGGTTATTGTATAGGTGTGCTCAGATCTGGTAATAAATGTAAATATTGCTTCCCACATGTAAGTTACGATCCTAGAATCAGGTGTTGTAATTTATAAATGAAGGTCAATAGTATCAAAGAGAAACTCACAGAGGGGTGAATCAGTTGCTGATTCACTTTTTGTCTTGACTTTTGCAGGTATGTATCTTCTACTTGGTTCTTCGAGCCATTGACACAGTTGGTTTGTACCTAACTACCTATCTATGAAGCTTGGACTCTGATGTCTTCTTGTTTATATCTTACAATGTGGTTTATTGTGTCAAAAATACCAGCTAGCTTGACTTATGCTTCAGACTTTACCAGTGAGTTTAAACTTTGTTATGAAAATCAAGCCAGCTTTCAGGCAACTTCATGTTGTGTTGATCATTCTGTTTAAGCACCACCTTCGGAAAGCATCATTTTTCAGTGGAGACCTCAGCCTGTGGAAGCTGCTATATTTGGACGGCCAGAAAATGGAGGACGACAATTGATTTCTCCTAGGTGCCGTGGGTCACTGGGTGTTTATGTACTGTTCTGTTATTTAGTTTGCAGCGAATGATACAAGCATAGCTACAAAAATAAAGGTGCCTATTCTGAAAGCTTTTCACCATCACATATATGATGAGTTTTGCGATCTCCAATCTCAGTATTCTGGATGTAAGAATTAATCGAAACTAAACTTAAAGACTCCAGAACGGAACAACAAAGTTTACATTTATTATCAGATTTGCGCCCAATTAGACAGTAACCTTTCCAGTATACGGCTAGAGCTCTCGAGCGTAGTAAATGCGCTTAAAGCATGGAAAGAATGAACACAAAACAGCCAACCTATAACGAGAAAAAGAGTAATGACGAAATGTATAATGAGGATCCATCAACCCAAACAAGAATCGTAAACTATAATGCAATCAAGCAGCTGAGGATCTACCTGTGAAATGATAATTGACTTACAGCTATGCATCTTCAACACTACTTCCACATATGGCTGTCTCCCTATCTCGAAGCATCATCAGTTAAATTTTAACAACATTGTTGATTCAATGGGACTGTTGTCTCAAAATGCCCATTTCTATGAGCTTCTTATGCAACTCATCAGCTTCATTAATCATACCATAATCCGCAACACCTTTAATCACAGCAGAATAAGCATCCTCATCTGGCTTGTATCTCCCAGAGATCATAAGCTCCAGAACTTCAATTGCCGTGTCCACATGTTGCTTTCTGCATAATCCTTGGACCACTAATTTGAAAGCACTACCATTGATACGATGATCCCTTTTCACCATCTCCCTCAATATCACTACTGCTTCCTCAACTTGACCCGCCCAGCAAAACGCCCAAACTAGAGAACGATGGGTGATGCCATCAGGCTTTATCCCATTTTCCAGCATCCGACTGTACAATCCCAATGCTTTCTCCACATAGCCCCTTCGACCAAGTCCGTCTATTAGAGTGTTGTAAGTTATCAACCCAGGTGGACAGTCACTACCATCTAAAATGCCGAATAGTTCAAGGGCCTCATCTACCATTCCTTCTCTACAAAAAGCAGCAAAGAGAGTGTTATACGTTATAATGTCGGGCGAACAATTTTGGTCAACCATCTGGTTGAAGAAGTCAATGGCTCGAACAAGATCACCACATTTGCAGAGACCATTGATTAAGATATTGTATGTAACCACAGTAGGACTATAAGGACTTATTTTCATAAGTGCAAGGATCTCATCAGCTTCATCCCAGTAGCCACAGCTAGAAAGAGAATGGATGAGTGTGTTGTAAGTCACTGCATTTGGTTCCATTCCATGTGATAGAATGTTACTTAAGACTAAAGCTGCATCTTCAAACTTCCCCTGTTTGCATGTGAGATTGACTAATGAGTTGTATGTAACCAGATCAGGAAAGCAGCCTTCATTTGCCATATCTTCCAATACCTCCACAGCCCGAACAGCCCCACAATGCTTGCAGACAAGTTCTATGAGTACTGTGTAGGTTATCAAGTATGGAGGGCAACCCCGCCTTACTTGCACTTTCCAAAACTTGATAGCTAGTTCAAAATTCCCTCTCTCAAACATTGCCCGTATTATCGTGTTGTAAGTAATTACATCAGGAGGACAACCACTCAGGCTCATATCATCCAGAAGATCGACAGCAGAATTCACATGCCCTCTCTTACAAAACCCACCAACCATCATATTGTATGTGATAACATCTGGCACACCACCTGACAACACCATGATTTTGAGAACTTTGACAGCTTTATCCATCCGGTCCATTCTAATAAGACCTCTTATTAGGTTTGTGCAGCATGTATACCCTGGAATCTGGCTTCTCCGTGCCATGGTATCTATTAGCTTTGCTGCGTCGAGTAACCTACCTCTGCTGCACAGGTTGTGAAGGATTTCGTTATTGGTTTCCTGTTCATTCTCAACTATCCGTCCATCACTTGAAGAAGATTGCAGAGACATATCCTTCTTCCTAATCTCATCATGCTCCGTGGAGCTCTGATCAATGGGCTCCAAACCAGATTCCCATTCGTTGTCATCAACTTCATCAATGAGAGCACTTTCATGCATTATCCTGGATGTCAAACTTCTCTCTGCCCTAAGATATTCCTTTGGGCGAACACATAGCTGATGCTGGATTATGTGATCAAACTTCAGGGAACTATTCAGATGGAGCAATGAAGCCTTTGCTGTTGGGGGATGGCACAAACCAAAACCGCAGCCGGCTTGTTGTTCAGGTAACCAACTCAACTTATCCAAAGGACGAACTACATGCCCCATTCTGCCGAACTCACCAAATATCTCCCGTCCTTCACCCAGATCCTCTGCAAATGTTGCACGCCTAAACATGATTAAGCATACATTGCAATTCGTAATTGTAAAAATAACTGGTAGATTATAATTCGTTATTGGAAAAGCATCAACCAACCGCTACAAGTTCAGAAGCTAGTAGAATGAGGAGAGTTGACAACAGAAACCCATCTTAAGATGTAATCAACCAAAGCTTCGGTTGCCAGATAATCATAATATCCCAGAAGCCAGCATTTCAACACCCTAAACGTTCCTGTATTCCTCCAAAGCCAACCCCAATAGACCAAAGAAACTAACAGATGAAATGTAAGCACCTGAATTCTGAAAACCTCCTATAAGCAAAGCGTCAATAAAGACGGCACCTCTGCCGACTGAGCCATGAAAGTTTAAAGAACAGACCCAAAAGGGAAAAGCCAGAACGATTAACAAAGACAAGTTCTTAGCTTCCCACTCCCTGGTCGCAAATTCTAAAATTCCACTCGGCGAAAAATCCACTGCGTATAGACACAACAAGCATTATAGCTTGTAACAAGAACATCAGGGCAGAGATAAACTCTTTGCCTAGTAACAAAACCCCACTCCATAACTCAAATAACATACAAAATAGCCTATAGCCCAGATTAGCAAATAACGGTAGGAACAAGCGAGTATAAGAAGAAAGGACGAACCTTTGAGCGAGAAACCTTGGAATCCTTGGAGATAATAGTTCGACTGCTTAAAATGTTGTTTGCAGGGTCGTCTTTGGTTTTGGAAGAAGTATGTTGTTCAGTTGAGCGGAAGAACTGAAGGGAGAAAGACCTAGGAACTAGGAGTGTTTTTTGTTTTTTTGTTTTTTTGCCATGCTGAGATTGGGCTTTTTTCGCATCCACCATAAGGAGCCTCAACTAAAGATTGGGCCACACGTATGAACATCACTATTGGGAGTAAAAAGCCCAAATATGATAGTGCAGTATTTACTTCCTCGTGGAAGCTTTACTAGCGTATGAATGAACCAATTGCTCTGTTGTGTTGATTACTGTGCAGTACTTTTGTTATGTTGATTACTTAGAAACTGTGTAGTTACCTTGTCCTCAAAGCAAAATGAGACCATTGCAGCAAGACAATAACATCGATTTCATCGTTTTAGCTCATGCAAATAACGCAGAAGTAATTCATCTGTACCATTACATATACGTTGTAACGAAATACGACGTACTGCAGAAAGATAACCCCGATTTCACATTTCATCGCACACAACTTATGCAAAGATAATACACAGGACAAACTGACTATCATATACCAGCAAGGGATCATGAATGTTATTGGCACCTATATCACAAGGGGAAAAAGGCTTGAGATGAGAACTACTGCGCAAAAATACAGGAAAAGAGAGAAAAGGGGCTCGTTGGAGTTACGAGGAAGAGCTAAAAAACAATACACACATTCATACATTGGGAGAAAAAACGAACAGTCCCCAGAGAGCAGCTATCTCAACAAAAATTTCAAGCCTTCAAAACACTTCAGCTATTTTGCTCGCCAGGACTCGCTCCCTCCGTTCGATATATCCAAATGGGAACCAACCTGCTTTCCCTTTGCATTCCCCTTCCGCCCACCCATTATTCGTCACCTGCATGCACCCGAGAAATATAGGATCAATCGTTCATTCTCACAGCCCAAATATGGTCTTAATACGAAAACTTAGATTCTGGTAAGTGACAAACCTTTCTGACGACAACATAGTCACCGACTGACAGAGAAAGCTCAACGCTAGTTTCGGCATTGTAAGGATGCATAACCTGTGGCACAATATAGATAAGTAAGTGTTTCCTGGAAAGTATAAATCTCATCAGGTCGAATGGAGCAAGAGGGAAAACTTAGATACAAACCTCCCCTAAGAAATATCCCATACTATCTGTTGAGCCATTTTGTGTTTGAGAGGGATAAACGCCATTGACTTCTTCGTATGGAGGTGGTGGGGGCATGTTGTTGTTCTCGACGGGTGGTGGAGGTGCTTCAATCCTTTGTCGTTCTGATATCATCTATCCCCAACAAACAAAAGGTCATAAGTGGCTATCCCTTTCAGAGGGCAGCTTTAGGACTTAAAAATGCATGGCATACCTCAGTTTCGAGCTGATCGAGTATTTGAAGAACTCTTTGGTGATAAGTTCTTTCTGATTCAACCTTAAAGTAACACGAACAACATAAGACGAGGCTTCTGCTACAATTTATAATAAATCAAACCCATAACAGAGTGGTAAAATTCTAACATACCATAGATATAAGCCGTTGGAGAGTCAACCTCTGTTGTTGAGCTTCAACAGCTGCCATTGCTGCAGTTGCTTCCTTCCCCAGAATATCCATGTTAGCCTTGAGATCTTGAAGCTTCGACTCTGCAGCTTCCCATTTCATGGAAACCTCAGGATGACCTGGCATTTCCCTTGCTCTTGCCTGCCGTTTAGAAACTTCAATGGCCTGTCTAGCATACAGCAAAAGTGTCGTGCTTGAGGATCCTGATGTCCACTCATAAACCATTCAACTTCATAAAGAGTGCACAGTTGGCCATACCTGCGCTTCAGTTTCTTGTCTCATTCTGTCATAACGTTGAGCAAGATGTCGGGCATCTTCCAGAGGAGCTCCCATTACCATCGCCCTAAGTGGCTCTGCGACCTATTCAAACAAATAAAAAATATTACATATATATTGCACAGAAAAATCAAAGCAGAACAAAGACAAAATATTGTCTCGAGGTCAATATTAAACAGTAAGCTTATGAAGCAGACATCATCAGCTTTCAAGTGAGAACAAGACACTTCTAGGAAAAGCACATAGCACGCTGATAGTGTCTGCAAAGGGGAAAAAAATTTTGGACCTTGCTTGAGTGGTATGTTTATACCGAACTCTAGACAAGGGGTATAACCTTTTTGTCAGCCTCTAAAGACCTCTGCATTTTTCTATATGCAGCGTATACATACTTTTGATAAAGACCATAAGCGATGGATGTGAACCATAAAGCAAAGAAACAGTGAAGAAAATAAAACATAGATCGTAACCTAACCGCTAGTTGAATCAAACTCAAATAAGTTGATATTCTTATCTCCACTGGTTTACAGCAAGGAAAACTCAAAGAGAACCACACAAAAGGTCAAGTTCAGGTCAAGAACAACAAAGTAAGGACCAATGAGCCAAGAAGGCGAAGTTACAGATCAACAAACTAACCCAGCAATGGGAAACTCCAGTCCTAACAAAAGTAGCCTGACCTGTAACTGTAAGCAATCTAAATCTAGAGAAGCATATGACTTGGGAAAAGTTGTTCATAAAACCTGTGTACCAAGAGCTTTCAACAAATTCCCACGCTCCTTCTCCATCTGAGCACGAGCACGCCCATAATTGAGCGCAGCCTTTGACAATGTGTTGCCACTAGTACAAGTATTTTCAGAGCCATACTTCCGACTATCCTCTGATAACTTTGTTCCTATAGAACACAGCTGAATGTCAAATCTCTAGATGAGATGCTACATTATATTTAGAATGCACACATAATTGGACAAATGAAAATTGAAACTTTCACCAATTAACCTATTTCCACTTGTTTGGATCCAGTAACAATATACCCTTCCACACCACGAACAATATCCCTTTGGAAGTGCTGTAAGATATAGCATTGGGGCCTCATTAGATACCAATTATGTATAAAACATAAATGAAGCAAAGGAAACCCAATGCAGGAAGGCCGGTGCAAAACAGAGTGGACCAACCTTGCCAGCACGAGTCGATATGTAAAGCTTCTCGAGCCTCTGATGCTGATGAAATTCAGCCTCATCAGTAACTAAACCGTCTGAACCTCCATATCCACTCGCACCAAACTGCTTCAGAACAGCCTGTGAACAAACCAAGTCCTGTTAGAATCGCTTGCTATGATCAAGAAAACTATGGATCCTAACGAAAGGCCCAAGAAACAAAAAGGCCACAAACAACTGTCTTAGAAACATCACAGCAGGATCGGAACTTGAACATAGAAACTTAGTATGTCTGAATAGATATAGCAACTGAACCATGCAAAAGGAATCAACTTTCATCCAGATTCTATTTAATCAAGTGAGGAAGACAGCAACCAACCAGAATTCCCTTCATTACTTCAAATATTAAAAATAAAGCCCCCAGATTGTTTCACAACCAATAAAGCTCTCAACTTTCTCCCAATCAAACGCCTCCCAAATCAATGTGAAGGTCCCGGATCACATGCATACACAGAGGAATACCGCAACAATAATCAGTACCCAACGGGCCATTTTTCACAAATTTCTTGATTCCAATTCATTCAAAGCTCGTCGCAATGTTGACCCGCGTAATGTTACCGAATCAATCAAATTGCAACCCCACACACACATAACTCCATTCCCAAATCGAAGGAAACATACACAAGAGGGATCAGACCAGGAAGCAATCACAGGAGTTCACGAGAAGGAGAAGAGAAGGCAGTTGTGGATCTGAAAGAGTTAGGGTTGTAGAGATGTGAGACCTGTTGTTGCTTAGCAACCTGCTCTCGAAGCCTCGTGGCCTGCTTTCTAATGGCTTCCATTCAGCAGGCAGCTGCAGAGATATCGGTATTTGATTTCCTGACGACGCCCCTAAACACGGTGTTCTTAGACAAACCAGAGAGGGGCGGAGAGAGAGGGATGGTTTTGAAAAGGGAGTGCGGGGGTTTGATGGTGTTTCTTTTTTGCCTTTGGAAGAGTCGTTTGGCTGGCTTTGTCTGTCCCTTTCCTAAACTTTTACTCCACAAAAGATAATTGTCTCAGCTTTTGGTCCCTCAACTATTACACATTGTTACCACAGTCCTCTGAATAAACGTGTCCACAGTTTTAAAACCCTATCGGACCGGCCAGTCTGACCAGAAATAACGAACACCGGACATTTCTCTGGATAAACGTGTCCACGGTTTGAAAATTCGATCGGACCGACCTGTCTGACCAAAAATAACGAAAACCGAACCCAAAACGATAGGCAGTTTTAGCGCTAGCAAACGGTTGAATTATGATCATTTTACTACAAAATATCCTACCATTCACTTTTTCGGTATGACCTCCGGTACGGTTTCACAAACCTTGTAAACTTTAATGTAACATATATCAGTTACCAATTTTTTATCCTCTTTTTCAAAGTAACATATAGCAACATATATTAGAACCGAGGAACAAATTAAGAATTAAACGTTCCATGAAAAGGTCAAAGGAAACTAGAACACAATAGGTAAATGTGAGTGCAACTTTCGAATTTTAAATGTTCATGAGGGTATATGGGTAAAATCTCATCATGAATTTATGACATATTATAAATCCCACATTAATATATAAGATTTCAAAATTCATGAAGTCCACGGATTTGAACCCTTAAAATTCATGGACTCTATGAATTTGGTCTCTCAAAAAATCAAGCAAGCGATAAATTTTTCTTAAATCTATTATGGAATGAATTTGGGTACCAACTACCAACTCCATCGTCCAAATCCACGAAGCAAACAACCCCGAAGTTCTTTTGAATCTATTATTCACAAAGTACCAAACTATAGGGACTAGAAATACCAAAACATAAAAGTACGGGTAGTAGAAAACAAGCTCAACATGGTCAGCGGAGAACTGAGAGAAGTTTATCATCATTTCGAGCCAGCCAAACAAAGACCTAAAAACACAGCAAACATCCCCTCTTTCCTCTCCCAGATCTCCCAACCGATTGCCGTCGTCTTCGTCCAACCTGGTTCTCGTCTCTGCCGTCCGCTGCTCGCTCTTCAACGATCTCCGGTTCGATTAGCTTGATCGGAAATTGGCGGGAATGAAAAAGTTCCGTCTGGTTTAGTCCCACTCCCAGAGCCGCAGCCTGAATAAACTGCCGGGAATCGTCATGTGGAGAAACTCTGCAAGTCGCTCCTCCAAGCTCATCTGGAACGGCTATGCACTATCACCGTCCTCTCTTTCCACTCTCAGGAGCTCCCGTTCTGTACCGAATTCCGTTTTCCCATTATCGTCCGTTCCCGCCGTCGCTTCCCCTTCTCATTCGCCTTCGGATCCTTCAAAATTAGGGTTTCTGCCGGGGAGATCAGATGGAATCCGAGCTCTATCCTCAGTTCCGTCTCCTGCCGCTGTTGATATCCCTTCGTTGACATATGGAGTTCAATTGGCTCGTCACTACGGCCAATGCTTCTGGGAGCTCTCCAAAGCTCGGCTCAGGTTACCCTTTCTTCACTTCCTTTTCTTTTTCCTTTTCCCCATATGTCTCTGAATTCCCTGGCTTTTGAACTCAAGGGTGGGTTGGTTGTGATCGTTATGGGAAATTTGTGGATTTGCAGTATGCTGGTCGTTGCAACTTCTGGGACAGGTTATGTTCTAGGAAGTGGGAGTGCAGTGGATTTCGCGGGACTTTGTTGGACTTGTGCTGGTACAATGATGGTTGCAGCTTCTGCCAACTCGTTGAATCAGGTCTATCCTAACTAGATGTTTCACTACCCTCTCTTTATCTGGCAAAGCACATAATTAGCCTAGGTGAACATATCTCCTACACCTGCTTAACTTGTATGGAACCCGTGAAGTAGTATATAAATGTGAAACTTCTTTGCTTGGTGCTGTTTTTGGAATCCCTTCCATGATGGAGCTTCTAAATACCTCAAAATGTGACTAATGGAATTATGGAAATAATTAAGCTGAGAAGTTGGGATTTCTAATTTGACAATTTTCGCAGTTCTTCTATCATTGTCCATTGAAGTTCTTGTATTTCAGCAGCATCATAGCCTTCGTCATATCAGTGACACTATATTGTATCTTGTAGGTCTTTGAGATCAAGAATGATGCCTTGATGAAAAGGACAAGAAATAGGCCGCTTCCTTCCGGGCGTATGTCAGTTCCCCAGGCAGTGGCTTTTGCATCTTCAGTTGGCTTGGCTGGGACTGCTATGTTAGCATGCAAGGTGGCCGAATAATTTCACCGACTTTGTGTAGGCTTAGATAATGATACCAGTCCTTCCCCTGATAGTAGGGAAGTGCTTAACCTGCTTTGAGCTGAGTGACTAATGTTGTACTTGCATGACAAGGTTGTTGCAGACTAATATGATGGCGGCAGGGTTAGCAGCGTCCAACCTGGTCTTATATGCATTTGTCTACACCCCATTGAAACAGATCCACCCTGTCAACACGTGGGTTGGAGCAGTTGTTGGTGCCATTCCACCGCTTCTGGGGTACTTTCTCATTCTATTTCTTCTGCATTTTAATAGGTTTCGCTATTGAGCTTTTTGTGTTTATTTATTAATGGGTATGAGAACTACAAGTTCTTTGAATCTATTAATTCCATCTTTAGTAATTGAGGAAACTTTGATCCTAGCAGTCGAGCCTTCTTCCATATGGTTACTTGGTAACTATTAGTTAATGGTTATTGGACGAGTATTAGAAGCTCCTTCCTTCCGATCCTAAAATAAGCTGAACCTTTCATAATTTAAAGTGATAAACTCATGATTAAGATCCTGGCAGATGCAAGCTCTCCGTGGGGAAGACACAGATGCAATACTTATGCTTTTTATGCCTTACAACTGTCCTTTAGAAAGGAAATGCATCTCTTCTTATTTTTATTTTTTTGTTTTTCCATTTGGCATACTAGTATGGTCACTAGGAACTTCATGTCAGATAGCATTTAAACTCATATTTTTCCTCTGCACTTCAGGTGGGCTGCTGCTTCTGGTGGTCAGATTTCCCTCAATTCAATGATTCTTCCAGCTGCACTCTACTTTTGGCAAATCCCCCATTTCATGGCACTTGCATATATGTGTCGGCATGACTATGCTGCTGGAGGGTAGGTACATAGCCGATGTCCACTTACGGATAGATGTATTTTTCTAGGTTGAGAAATGTGAATTGAATAAGATAAGGAAATGGCCATGTTAGTTGCATCTGCAAGAATCAAGGTGGCCAGATTCCCTGGTTTTGTTGATTTGCTGTCTTTGAACGTTCAAAAAGTTGGCTTACTACCTTGAGGAGATGAGTTATGTCTTTCCTCAATTTTGTTGATATTTTAGGTACAAGATGCTCTCCCTTGCCGACACTAGTGGCCGAAGAACTGCCATGGTGGCTTTGAGGAACTGTATTTATATGGTGCCCTTGGGGTTTATGGCTTATGAATGTGAGTTGTGGCTAGCTGAAAACCTTTTACCATGCATATCTGTCTTGAACGTGTTTCTCATTCTTGCTCCATGTTTCATGCGTTCATGATCTTTTACACCTATGATCAAAGAGGTCAAGTTAAGTCTTGACCGTTAAATTTTAGAACTGTGCCAAATTCAAGCTTGCTGATGTCTGTCTCTATTTTGATATTCTACCCTGTGACCTCTCAGTGCTCCTATTAGAATTTGAGTGCCTTGCAATGTACTTCAATCTCATTGTATCATCTCGGGGGTTTTAAATGGTGAATGCAGTGGGTATGGCTTCTGGGTGGTTTTGCCTGGAATCATCCGTTCTGACTCTAGCAATCGCTGCTTCGGCATTTTCATTCTACCGGGAACCAACCACAGAGAAGGCCAGGAAGATGTTTCATGCCAGCCTTCTATACCTTCCCATATTCATGGCCGGGATTCTCCTTCACCGACAAACAGAGATGTCAACTGATGACCTTTCATCTTCTATGAGTGCGGAAGTAGAAGATAGAGAAGACGAGCGAAGCCGAAGCCATGCAAAGAAGAAGGAACTACTGGATGGTTCAAATTTCGGCACACGAGTCCGTGCACCAGTGGCGTATGCTTCTGTTGCACCTTTCCCTTTCCTTCCGGCTCCTTCATATGTTTCGTCATAGTTTTTTTTTTCCCGGCATTTTTTGGCACTTTACTACCTTCAGTCCTTCACGTTGCAGAAAATCTAGCAATAATGTCATTCTGGGTTGTTGATCATTGGATCATATAGTAACTTGTTGTCCCGGTTCTCACATACTATGGCGGGAATGCTCCTGATTGGACGTCACATTTTTGTAACTTAATAACGCATGAAAAGAAATGGTATTCATGGTTTTGCTGCTTGCTGCCTTTTCTTCCATTATGGTATTCATGCTCTAGTGATCAACAAAAAAGAAGCATATTTAGCAAATAGCTCCACATTGCTCTTTCTGGAGTAGGTGGTCGGCTGTAGTTGGAGTTGCCCATTCAAGTTACTGTGAATATAACAACTCAGTGGTGATAGGGACTGTCCATGACGAGTGGGGGAAAGCAAGCTATCATGAGCAATTTTTTACCCACTCTTTTTTCTTGTGGATGTTATTTCCCTTTCTCGTACTTAATGTATGAAAATGAATAGTTTATCATTCAATTCTGCTCGCTGAAAAAATCGACATTCAGTTTTTAACCACTCTGAAAAAATTCATAGATTTGACTAGCGGAAATTAAGATAAATCATGACCATCACGTTCTTCTGATTCATTATATTATCTTGTAGTGATATAAAAACACTTTATTTAACTATTACTCTTCGTATGTGGTACGACGATAATAAGATTTGAAAAGAATTATAATATAACCATTGGGGGCACAGCTACATGCATTCCATTATTGACAGACATTGCTTCCAACATGGATAAAATAAAACATTGTACTATGTTTTTCACCTTTGACCAAAAAGAATCCCATCTCTATGTCCAATTTCATTCAACCTTTAGATTCTACTACCACATAAAAGAACCAAACTAGACAACTGTAACAACCATTCAAAGTCATAACAAAAAAAAAAAATAGTACTGTTGGGGGTTCTGTAGTAGTGGAGAAAGTGCCCTTTGGTCACTCCCTCCCACTCAATCCAACTAACAACCAACACCAACGAAAAGAAAAATCCAGAAGCAGAAGAAGAAGAAGTGAGAACCACCAACCACAGTTTTGCTAGTGTGCTCCTCATCACTCTCTCCCCAATGACTTCTGCGAGGTGTTGCAGCAGGATTGGTCTTGTTCATCTCCTTTTCCTTGCTCTTCTCCACAGCAGCACTCTTTCTCTTATTGCAGCTGCCAGAACAAATGTATGGCTGGCTCTTCTTTGATCTTCTGTTTTGTTTTTCTGATTCTTTTGCTATTGCAACTGAACCATCTATGGTTCTTTTGAAGGTTTACATTGTGTACATGGGTGAAAGGCAGCAGCAGGATGAGCCTGAACTAGTTCAAGACTCCCACCATGAGCTTGTCTCCAATTTTGTTGGAAGGTTTGTTAGTACTGCTGAATTTTTGTTTCCACCATTCTCAACTTGGAAGTTTCCAAAGTAGAAAACTTTTTTTGGTGGGTTTTGAAGAACAGCAAAGAAGCTGCAGAGGAATCCATTCTTTACAGCTACAAGCATGGGTTCTCAGGGTTTGCTGCAGCCTTGACCAAGTCACAAGCCAAGCTTATTGCAGGTCACTTGTTTTACCAATGTTGTTGGTGAAACAATTTTGAGTTTCAAGAAATCTGATTATTGATCATGTGTGGTTCCTACATCCAATCCCAGATTCCCCAGGAGTTGTTTGGGTGGCCAGAAACAGAATCCTCACTACTCAGACAACAAGGAGCTGGGATTATCTGAGGGTAAAACCTGAGCTCCCTGATGGGATTGCTTCAAGAGGCCATTCTGGAGCTGGCTCCATTGTTGGTGTCATGGACACAGGTCAGTGAAAATGATGCTGTAAAAAAAGAAGACAAGTTAGATTCTGGCTTTTTGTTTGCATTATTGTTTCTTGTGACAGCTTTCTGTTGGATTTAGGGATATGGCCAGAATCAAAAAGCTTCGTGGATGATGGTATGGCAGAGGCGCCATCTCGTTGGAAAGGCATTTGTCAGGAAGGACAAGGGTTCAATACTTCTCACTGTAACAGGTTTGGACTCGTATTTGTCGTTGATCATTTACTTCAATGTTAGTGTGACCAAATTCTCACCGTGACTATTCATTAGAAATGTGATGTATAGTGATTTGGATGGTCCAAATTTTCACTAAAGTCTATTATGTTAAATTGACTTGATTAAGTCGCGTTATTTCAATTGTCGTAGTCAAATTTCAAGCTAATTTTTTTTTTACTTCTTGTATTGGTATTCATTGTTATAAAATGAGGTGTAATTTATTCAATTTAAAGAGAAATATAAAATGTTTAACTGTCTATATAATGTGCTTGATGATATCTGTTTTTATTGCTTGCACTTTTATTGTGCGAATATACAATACCAAAATTGAGTATAAGAAATTTAAATCTTAATTTACATTCTAACGTGTTAGACTTTTCGATCACGAATCAATGTCAATAACTTCGATATATCATAATTAATTTAAAATTAAGGTTTTTACATTCAATACACTTAATTTGTAGGGCTCGATTTTTCTCGATAATACGAGTAATATTTAGGGGAAAAAAATAACTAGACATTTTGAGAAGAGTATAACAATCATGTTTAGTACTCTCTTAACAACTCTTTAAGTCTCGCTCTTTATTCTCTAAACAGGAAACTCATCGGAGCACGGTGGTACATAAAGGGCTACGAAGCCGAGTTCGGCAAAGTCGACACTAGCGACGGAGTCGAGTTCTTATCCCCGAGAGACGCCGGCGGCCATGGAACCCACACGTCATCAACCGCAACCGGGCTTCCAGTCCAAGGCGCAAGCTTCATGGGCCTGGCCCAAGGAACATCCAGAGGCGGGGCCCCATCAGCCTGGCTAGCAATCTACAAGGTCTGCTGGGCTACAGGCGGATGCAGCTCCGCCGACATCCTCGCAGGATTCGATGACGCCATCGCCGACGGCGTCGACGTGCTGTCCGTGTCGCTGGGGACATCTCCGCCGCTGGCCTCTTACGTGGCGGATCCCCTGGCGATTGGGTCGTTCCACGCCGCCTGCCGTGGGATCACCGTGGTTTGCTCCGGCGGGAATTCGGGGCCTTACTCGCAGACCGTGATTAATACTGCTCCGTGGGTTGTTACCGTTGCGGCGAGCTCCGTTGATCGGGATTTCCCCGTTGTAATCACTCTTGGGAATGGCAGGACTGTTGTGGTATGTTCTCGTCTCGTGATTTCTGAGAAAAAAAGGGGGTTGGAATTGGAATTGTGGATTGGGTGTGTTATTGATTGATGCGGTCTCTCTCTGAAACAGGGGCAGGGTTTGTATACGGGGAAGGAAGTGGAGGACTTTCACCCCATTGTTTATGGAGGAGACATTGCTGCTGATGATTCTGATCAAGATAGTGCTAGGTAAGACGTTGTTCTAAAGCTCTAAATTGCAAGGCTTGGTTGTATTTAGCTAGGACTGGATATGGTACGGTTCAGAATCAGATCAAATCAGTAATGGTATTGGATCGAATGTAAGGGACAAATGGGGACTAGAATGTAGCAGAAAGATTCCAATAGTGAGTTTTTTCTTCTGCTGTTTTTGGTTCCCAACAGGAGTTGTGAATCAGGAAGCTTGAATGCAACTCTAGCAAAGGGGAAAGTGATACTGTGCTTCCAATCTAGATCACAAAGGTCAGCCACAGTTGCTCTAACAATGGTGGAGGATGTTGAAGCTGTGGGGCTCGTATTCGCCAGGGTACCAACCAAGGATGTGTCTTCATGTTATAGAGTCCCTTGTGCACAAGTGGATTTCACCATTGGGACATCTCTACTCACTTACATTGGATCAAACACCAAACCTGTGGTGAAGTTCAGCTCCACTAAGACTACAATTGGCAGCCAGACTTCCCCGGAAATAGCATTGTTCTCGTCGAGGGGACCCAGTTCCCTCTCCCCTGCCATACTCAAGGTAACTAGAAGTAGATGCTTAGCATATGGATTAGTTTACATGAACGATGATTAACTTTAGGTACGGTACGATTACATGAACTGTCATTAAACTTTAGAGTAACTTTTGCAGCCAGATATAGCTGCTCCTGGAGTCAACATCCTAGCATCATGGTCACCATTTGCTTCTTCCATTGATGACCCACTGGACTTCAAGATTGAGTCAGGAACTTCCATGTCATGCCCCCACATTTCTGGCATAGTTGCCCTAATCAAATCCATCCACCCAACTTGGTCCCCTGCTGCAATCAAGTCTGCCCTCATCACAACAGGCAAGCAAATTCAAACCAACCCCTCAACTTTTGCTCTTCTGATCTTAATGCCTACCACCTAACTCTAAGCTACCACTTCTTCTTTTCCCACCACAGCTTCAACACAAGATGAATATGGTGAAACCTCCATTGCAGAGGGAGCTCCAGAGAAGCTGGCTGACCCATTCGACTACGGTGGTGGA